TAAAACAATTGATAACATACATTAAAATGTAATTTTAGTAGTGTACATAATGAAAAAAAATTGTTCATGTTATGAAAGAATACTTGTGCACCTGTTCTGGATGTTTAAAAAATAATTCTCAGATGAATTTTCAAATTCTTCATTCAGTTCAACAGTGTTAAAACCAGTTCGTGGTTCAGCTATGATAAATTATTCGGCTATTACTCTAAAAGGACCATGTTTAATTATAAATGACTGTGACTTTACAGAAAATTTTATAAGAAGTTAATGACAAACTCCTCAATATTCTTTCTTTCTATCCTGAGAAGAAAACATTTATTTAAAAAAATAATATATCTCTTTAAAGAAAATCAGAATCAAATATCTTCTTTCCACTCCCTTAAAAAGGAAAATAAATTAATGTCACAATTATGTATGTTTAACCTTAGAACTTTTTGCAAAAGAAAATAAAAATAAATACCAACTCTGCTTTGAGACAACATTTCTATTGGAAGTTAGATGTTTTTGTAAGGATTTTCAAAATTGGTTCTTGTATAAGAAATCTTTTCCACTTCAGCGTTTTAATATGATAAAGGTTGGTCTTCAATGAAACGACTGTAGCAACAATTTAATCTTTCTGGCAATTTTCTTTCACAAGTGCCATTTTTAAAAAATGTTCAAGATTTAAAAGTAAAATAATTGTATTTTACGAAGCACTTGATAAACGTTCCTTCAACACAAGAGCACAATCTTTATACATATATTTTAAAAGCTCAATTAAGGTTTGAAATTCACTCTTACCTTGGTAATATTTTCTGTTTATTTTTCCCCCCATTGTTTGTTCTGTATTTTAATAGACTGCTATTATTTAGGTAATTTTCGTTTTTAATTTTCGTTTTTCGTTTTCTAATCTTTATCAAAGATAAAAATAAACAGGAGAAGGTAGCAGCTCCCCCCGCTGGACGAAATACGTACAGCACCTACCTGGTATTTCCATCCGGTTTCTCATACAGTCCCTGGTGCGCGCTCCCGCTGAAGACCCTGTTGTGGCGGGAAAATCGATAGAGCTGAAGCTAGATACGTTGTTGACCAAGTTTATGTTAGTTTACTTCGTTTTATTGCTCATAAACATCATTCTGAAGAGATTATAAAGACCCGTTTAATTTAAAGTTATAATTCAGCTCCTTAGTAAACTCTTAACTCGACGTTAGACTATTTTTGTTGACGCTTAGCATTAGCATTAGCATTTTTTTTATTTAACATTTCGTTTTCCTTTTTGAACAGTCAGAGGTTTTCAAAAATGGCAGCAAGAAAACAGATGAAGAAAAAGATACTAGAAGAGAAAATGGAGAAAAATGTTTATGATTTTCCAGCAGAAGATGATAAAAAGGAGCTCAGCGGCTCAGAGGATGACATCAGGGAAGGTAAGGTAGCTGATTTCTGAAGATGGCATCTTTTTTTACAGCTCTGAAAATTTACCAGTGTAAGATCAAAATGGGAG